GAACGAGAGCGAATGAATGAATGAGAGCGAATGAATTAGTGAGAGGGACTGAATGAGCGCGGAGGATGAATAAGTAGCAGGGAATGAATTAGCGAGATGGAATGAATGAGTAAATGAGAGCAGATGGATGACTGATGCGCGAAGAACGTCTGGCCGAATGGGGCTGAATGGGTGTGTGACGGAGGGCGACCTGAGCACGAGCTGGTGCCTGCGCGCCACGTCCGCCAGCTGCGCGCGGTCGTCGGGGCGCAGGTGGCGCAGCGCGGCGCCCAGCGCGCGCAGGCACACGTAGGCGCACAGCATGACGCCCAGGTAGAAGCAGTTGGTGGAGGCGGCGCCCATCGCGTCGAACCACACCGACACGCCCTGGCTGGCGAACGCCGCCCAGTAGCCCCAGCCGCCGAAGCGCGCCTCCCACGGGAACCACCCGGCGAACGGCTGGTTCCACACGCTGCAACACGCGACCGCGATTCCTGCATTGCTGCAGGGCGCGGCAACTGATGCGGTCATTAGTCCCGGAAGCCTGGTGCGGGTTTTTAACACGGCAAATTCTTCGCACGTCGGCTTGCAGGGTTTTTCTCAACCAGGTATCTTCCCCCACCGCCCCAGCCACGTCAAGTTCTAAGCTCTAGACTGGTCTTCCGACATATGTGGGAGTGTAGTATATGAACGTGAAAGAAGGTGAGAGGATATAACAAGGAAGAGGAAGGAAAGAGAACGCGAGATCCGTGGACTTTTCGTTACGGTGGTACTCCGGCATTCGTCTGGTGACATGGGGGAAACAAACTGAAAACTACAGAACAGAACAGAACAGCCGAGCGGTAGAATTATCCTCCAGACAGCAGTTGAATTCGACATAGCTATCAAGCAAGGGTTGGAAATTCAGCTACCGTTTGAACGCGAACCCTAGTGCCTTCCAGTGAGAGGAACTACATTGACAATGCACCTAAGCCACCTAAGTCTGTCACGCCTACGAGCACGGTCGCGTCTCTCACGCACGAGCTGAGTTGTTGATTCGACCGATTTGCTGTGCGCTTCTTTGGGATGTAATGCACGTTGTCCTTAACACTCAGCTTATCAATTACACAATGAAAGGCAGTCCAAAAATGTTCATTTTTATTATTATTGATATTATGATTTTAGTAGGAATACTGATAACAGCAAACAATGATTTTTAAAATTACGCCCTCTAAGGCACAACATTTAAAGAATGTGGATTTTACAAGCCCGAGTATACTCGTTCATGTTCATAATTAGTAATAATACATGATAAAATACATAGTAATCAT